CTGGTGGGAAATTCAGAACAGATAAAAGGAAATATTTTTCGCAAGGTATTTAGTTTAACCAGGGGATCCATGTCCACAAGATGTTATGCCAGCCACCAATTTAAATGGCTCCAAAAGGGTAAATTCACGGAGAAGATTATCAGTGACTACTAGTTCTGATGGCTACATGCTATCTCCAAGTATCAGAGGCACTGTATTTCTGTACACCAGTTTTTGGAAGACATGTGTGGGAGAGTGCTGTTGCACTCATGTCCTGCTTGAGAGTTTCCTGTGTGCATCTGGGTGGCCACTGTGTGGGATGCAGACTACTGAACTAAATAGCCCTTTCATCTGATCCAGAATGGCCCTTACCTTCTCATGGAATTCTGAACAACCAAGTACACTTCTGTGCACACATGCACAAAAGTGTACATTACGATTACATAACAAACAACAACCTGTGTCAGCAGAAATCCTTGAAAATAACCAAGAAAAATGTCATAGGTACATCCCCAAGAGGAATCCATAGCCATTTAAGTATATGCCTACATGCTTTCATTTCAGAGACAAGCTATCACTACAAATTATGCAAGAAGCTGCTACATTCTACACTTCATGACATGTCATATTCTTAATGTTCCAGATTTATAGTCAGTGGACTGATCCACAGATAACATGAACCCATGATTTATTTAAACCATGGTTCGTTGCCCTGCCCAGAAATTCACTCTGCTCAGACATAACAGCCTGAGAAATTGTGAGGAAGTCTGTTCTACAAAAGCCACTTCCAGTTTCCAGAACAACCTGCAAATGCAGCATTTGTAGGTTGTTTCTGTGACATCCAACCATGTGCATGTTAGGTTGTTTGTGGGTTAAACATATCCAGTTAACTCATGGCTTGTTCCTGGGTTAACCTGGTGTTGTTCAATCCAGAAACAACCCCAAGTGCCCCAGTTCACATGTCACAAAACAACCTACAAATGTGGCAATTGTACATTATTCCTGGAACGTGGTAGTGGCTCACACAGCATGCATCCTTGAAATCTATGAGTTAATTAACCAATGAATTGCCAGTGGGCAATCATACCATTACATTTGAATAGGGCCATAGGATCACATATGATTAAATATACCACAGTTTGCTTTCTCAGTCCCTAATTGTTATCCTCCTTCTTCACCTGTTTTTCCCACATATCCTAACTGCCTTTGCAGAACTGCAGTACTAGTGTGTAAAGAAAATGGATTTCTTGCATGCCCTTGCTTACTGCCTCTACAGCTGAAGAATAACCCATGATTCTGGGCTTGAATACTGACAACCCATAACTTAAACAAGCCACAAGTCAAGACCCAAGTATAGGTTAACCTATAGTTCTGGGTTCACACTTAATGACAACCCACAATTCAAGAAACTGTGATTAATTAACCATGGTTTGTCATTACATGTAAACCAGCTTTATATCGTAATTTCACTTCTTGCAAAAATGATTCTTTACACAAAAACTAAGCTTTTATTAATTAGTTGGAAAAAATATATTGCTATGGCCATCATCCCACTTTATCTCCTTGCCCTCCTCTTGTCTTGTCAGGGTAATCTTCCCCTTTCAAAAGATGATTATAAGCAAGTCAACACTTTCACCACAGGTATTGGCTTGCCTATGAATTTGGTCTTTCTTGGCTATGTAACAATTCCACAGAAATATTTCAAGGATCCTTTCCCTGCCTTTTTAAAAACACAATCAAATTCATGAGGTGCAAGGGTGTACAGCCCTCATTCTGCATATGTAGGTCCTTCAAAAAATAAAAACCTAGAGCAAATTATGCTGGAAAGAGGACACATGTGCATTGGAGAAGAATCCCAAGATTGAGATAAAGGGAATGAGGAAAAATCTGAAGTGAAATTACAAGAAAAGCAACAAGATGTGTTGGCATAGGCACACCCTAACTATCCTTTGTTTCCATCAGCATCCAAAGAGAGAGGCTTTCTTTTCATTGCAATGAATCTATTTCCTTATTCAGACAATTAAAGGGCATTGTTAAAGGAGAGCAGCTCATCTGGTGACAAATCGCTTTATTGCATGTCAAAGCTCTCTGGTCCAAACAAAGACTTTGCCATGCTTTTAGGCCTCTTTTTCTCCCATCAGTGTTTCCTCTATTGAAATCTGCTGACAATTTACATTATTATGCATGCGGTTTTAGTTTTAATGATGCATTCCCCTACAAACTACATCAGAAAAGGCTTTCTTGTGGAAATGCATGTCCACATATTATCTTCCAAAAGTGGAAAATAATGAACACTAAGGTTACAGTTTTATAGGTCTATACTCAGATCCATGGGGATTGCCAGATTTGTGGCTGTTTATGAAGCAGAACTCCAGCATTTGGCTTGATTTCTAATCTTTATCTTACTTATCACTTATTTCTCCTTCTTCTTCTGCTGAAGCTTGTAAACTCACTGCAGATGAACCATCTCTATTATCTATTCCACACAGAGCCCACGCTGACATTTAACAAATTGATGGTGATGGTGACAAAGATGATGACAGTAATAAGCACTTTCAGTCTTTCCATAGTTATTTGCATGTCTTCTGCAAAAGAACAACTTGCGCTACTTGGTTTGAGTTTCAACAGATGAACTGTAGTACTGCTTCCTAAAAAATCTTAACCAGAAAACTAAATTAAGCTTCTAACAAGCCATTTCTAGAGCCAGTGTGGTGTAGTGGTTAAAAGCATGGGACTGGAACTCAAGAGGATCTGGATTCTCGTCCCCGCGCAGCCATGGAGCCAACTGGGTGACTTTGGGCCAGTCACAGACTCTCAGCCCAACCTACCTCACAGAGTTGTTGTTGTGGGGATAAGGTGGAGGAGGAGAGATGATGTAAGCTGCCTTGAGCCCTTTGTAGGAAAAAGGCAGGATATAAATAGCAATATAAATATAAATAATATAAAAAGTGTGAGGGCGGTATCTGGTGAAAACTTAAAAAAAAAACCCCAAAGGTTTGAAGGATAACATTTCTAGTGCTCATGGCTAGTGAAGCTTCAAAGGCCTGCATCACTTCCAGCTGCCCCCTGTGACTAGCAGAGACAGAATAAGCTACACAAAAAAGTAAAAATGGCAGAATGAAAACAAGGGGGAATTATGCAATAGGTGTATATTTGCAGAATTTACATGTCCCAGAATTTACTCTTGGCAAAGAAATGTGGATTACATTTGATGTATATACACAGAATCCACACAGACCTCTGTGCTCCTTAGATTTCTCTGATAATCTTTTTTTTTTTACCTCTTGAGATGTCAGACTTCTTTGCATTATGGCCTACATGCAAGATGTTTGTTGGTGTGGTGGGTATCATTTCTGACCATTACAAGGAAGACATGAACTTTGGCTCTGTGACATTTCAGACTGATACCATCTGACTCTTATTTATTAGGTCATGATACCTGCATGCACTCTACCCACTCAGATTTCAGATCACTGTATCAGATGCCCACACAGCACCATGCTGATTCCACACAAATTCTCTGCACACACCAGAACTGCAAGTTCATTGTTAAGTAGCAGAAACCACAGAACAGGAAGTTGTTCACAATCCTGCACAAGATGTTGTACCTGGACCATACAAAAACTGATACAATGAAAACCAAATGTGAGATATTCCCCCAAAACTATATTGCTTCAGAATGCAATTGAGAAGACTTTATGTTTAAATGAGTTTCTATGGAAAAAATGTTTAAAAGCTAGCCCTTCATGGAAGAGTTCTAGACTAACTTTCTCCTTGTCATGCTAGTTTTTAATAATTATGAAGTTTTTGCTGCAGGAAAATAAATCTCCAGTATTTGGTAGATGGACTGTATGACATGTTTTCCTGAATGTTTAAATTTAATTTCAATGATTTTGGTTCTCTTTGTGTAAAATGGGCAAAATAATGGACTACCTCACAGGCTTGCAAGATCAGGAACTCAAGTCACAATCTGTGTTATTCCCTCAGTACAAGACATACAATGCAAGTGAGGAGCACTTTGCATGTGACACATTTCTTACATGGCAATTAGTCCAACACAGAAACTGAATAATCTGAAAGGTACAGATGGTAATAAGCATACAGATGGTATGTGAATTTGTAATACATGATGAAATACCTAAGAGATTCATTCACTTTCCACATGGAACTGCCATTTGTTCAGAACATTTTGAATGCAACTCCATAGGAAGTCCTTCTCTGCAAGCCCCACTGAAATGAATGGGGTTGTACAAGAACACTTTTACACAGTCCTCACTCATTTAAATGAGGCTGATGGTGGAGAATCTTTGGTGGCTTGTTCATCTCATACAGGATCTTGAAAAACATGTCTTTGAATCAAAAGGCCTTTAAAATGCAATAATTAGTACTTCTCCCCACTTTCCCTTACGAAGAGTCCAGTGTAGTTGCAAAGCTCACATCCTGCATCTTAAAATAGCGGCTAGTCAGAAACAAACAATCCAATGTCTCACTTCTTGCTCAGTCTCAGTACTCTTAATCGCCACATCATCTACTTCGGAGATAAAACAGACAGCGTCCAGACGAAGCCTATGGGCACACCACAGTCCAACCCCATCGGTTTCAATCCAACACTTTCAAACATGCGCCTAATTCCAACAATGAAACTATCAAAAGGACTTTGTTATGGCTGGATCACGATCCATATTAAAATGTCGTTTTTCATATTCGATTTTTTTAAAAAATGCTGCTACTTTCTCTTGCAGCAAAACTTTATGAGGGTCCCACGGTGTTATTCTCATTATATTCTTTTTTGTTTCGGGGTCCTTTTAAAAGCCCTGTCCGATTTAGCTTCCCGCCCCGAGGTTCCTGCCCTCCCTCCTCCCGACACGTCGGAGAAGCTGGAGACCCATCACCGAAGCACAAAAGGACTTCCTCGCCACCATGAAACAAAAGAGTGTGAAATGAGGCGGAGGACAAGGGCGCAAGCCGCCGGGAAGCCCGCTCGATGCACCGGAGGCGCTCGGGCGCATTTCTCGCCTTACCCTGGCACGGGGTCCTCGCAGCCTCCTGCCGAGGAGGGACCGGCGCCGGAGAACGACCTTGCTGGAGAGGCAAGCGCCAGCGCTGCAGCCTGGGGACTATCCAACTCCGGCCGCTTCCTTCGGCTTTCTTCCGCTCGTTCGTCCCTCGCCCGCCGCCTTTTTCCTGGAGAAAGCGGCTTTAAAGATCCTCTCCCTGCCCCGCGCGAGTGGGTTGGGCGGGCGGCTCGTTGGGGCGGGTTAGCGCTTCCACCGCGCGAGCCCCTTCCCGCCCCTCGCCCCGAGTTAAAGAGTCACTCTGGGGGAGCCTCCCGGGGTAGAGGAGGTCAGGCGTGAGGGCGCCCCCAGACGACGCGGAGAGGAGCTCCCCTCCTCCTCCCTCCTTTGGCAGCCCTGAAAAAGACGCACAGTCCTTCCCCTGCTGGATTCCTGAAGCGCTTCCAGCGGCCCCGAGAGGCAGTTCCTCTGCAGCGGGTGCGTAAAAGGCGCCCTCGGGCGCGCAGCAGCCAGGCCGGCTCGACGCGCGGGAAAAGAAGCGCCGCTGCCTCGGGCAAGGAGAGTTGCATGCAAAGTGTTCGGAAAGTCCCTACATCCCCTCCTGCCTCCCCTCTCCCAGCTTAGGCAGACGGAGGAAACAGGCGTGAGCGAGCCGAGCCCCACCCCACCGCTTCGCTCCTCTGCTTGCTCTCTCCCTTCCCACCCTCTCCTTCTCTCTCTTTCTCTTTCTTTCTCGCGCTCTCTCCAGGGAGCAGCCTGCTAACAAGGACCCTTCTGTTGGCTTTGTCCAAGACCCTTTCCGACAAAATATGCGGCTGGCTTGCGAGGCGCTTGCGTGCTGGCGGCTGGAGCAAATAGTCGCGCGGGGGCTCGCGACTTGACTGGAGGAGCGCGGGTGTGGGTGTGTTTTGCTGAGCTGAATATAAAAGGCGCCACTTTCTGCCTTCCCTGGGGGTGCCACCAGAAGGAAGCTTCTGGGGGTAGGTATTGGCTGGCTGCAGGCTCCCGGGGGAGCGGCTGTGCTGGGCTAACGGGAACGGCCCGGCTAGGACACGGGGGACTTCCGGTATGGGTCGGCCCCTTCTCATCCTGCGCTACGTATAGGGATAGGTGTCCGTCAGCACAGGCGGCCTGTTCCGTATGGCTAGGATGATGCAAGGGCGGCCGTGGTTTCGCAACTGCCAAGGGCCCACAGTCCCCACAAGGGCCCACTGGAACGACCCTGCCCCGAGTTGCTCCTCCGTGGCACCCTTACAACCTGCTTGTTCAGGTGCATCTCAGGCTGGCCTAGAAGGTGGTGGCGTTTAAAGGAGACACAGCAGATGCCGCTGCCCACCTGTGCTCATTGGCTCCCTGCTCCTCAGGCAAGCCTGTGGTAACTGATAAGACAGAGGAGGAAGGGCAGGACCACCGGTGATGATGATGGTGAGAAAATAGACTCACTCTGGGAGGGGGCCTATTGAGGGTGTCTTGTCCAAGAGCCCTCAAAAACCTGGAGCAGGTGCTCCTTAATATTATTTAGCATTCATAGATGATGGTCCTGGCATCTAATCCTTGGGTCGAGGCAAAGCCAGCACCAAATCAGCAAGAATATGACCCCAAATGCGTGTGTTTGTTTTGTAGTGACAGCCAAACACTACATCACATATACCTGCATATTTCTACACAAAGAGGCCTTCAAGGTAAGCTGTTAACAAGAAAGCTTTTTTTGTAACTGTCACCCCATAGGAGAAATAATGCAGGCCAGATGTAAAGTACTCAAGTTGAGGCAACAACTTGCTCCAAGTGTGCGTCCATTGTGCATGGCCTTACACAAGCCTGATAGCTTCCCCATTCACTTCTTAACAATTGCATGGCAGCTACCATCATATAGGTGAATTGTCCCTGAATGATGGTGTTCATGCATTGGTTAGCCCCAGCCAGTCAGAGTCTCCTGAGTTTTATACATGCAGTGAAAAGTCAGCATGTGACTTCAGTGTATTACAGTTCACAGATAGTTTCAGAAGAGCCTTCTTTGTGTAAGACTGTAAGAATTCAGATGAATCAGGTTCCATGAGTTGTGAGCCCAACTCTTCCTTGCCCCCAGCTCTTCTTGCCCCTAGGCTCCAAAACACCAGGTAGTCTAGTTGCAAAGCAGATTCTTATGGGCACTTCACAGCTACAAGACAAAGTAACTCCAAAAGCCCTCTAGTGCACTGGAAACTAGGCCTCTGCCTACATCAAGAGTGAAGGGTTGAACCCAACTCTTCAGAAAATAACTGTGACTACTTTATATGGTCATTTGGTGGGGCAAGGAAGTTGCCATGTGCATTGCTGTCCTTTCCCAGTGCTCTTTACCGTGAGAACCATGTTGCATTTGCTTTACTCCATGCTTTCAGAAAGTTGAGTCACCTTCTGACTTGGCAAAGCCTTTACTACTCATATTTCTGCGTCTCCAATCTAATCCCATGACCAAGAATTCATTTGCACATGTTATCTTACTGGATTACAGCTTTCAAGACAAGGGATGCTATCTTGAAGTCGGCAAGCTGCATTTTAGTTTTCTTCCTCCACTAAGTGCAAACCTTCTGGTCACATTTCAAGCTAGAATCTCCGGAGTTCCACAGAGCAGCCTGGTAGAAAAGGATTAGCATCATCCTTTTCCAGTTACCTCCTTTGTAAGGTTAATATTAGTGTGGATTTCTCCTTTCTTGAGTACCTGCTGGCTGTGTGATGTGGCCCGTTGGCCAATTCAGTTGTTGCTGTCAGCCAATGTCACCTCAAGCCAAACAACATAAATGCTGGAGAAATGCCCTTTTTGAGTCGACTTTTTTCTTTTCCTATCCCTCTCCATCAGGCATGACCTATGAAAGGCACTGTAAGGAATATACCAAGGGACCTTGAAGTAAGTATACTCACTTTCCTAAGTTGCTTTAGTGAACAGTTTTGTCAGACCAGGATTTCTAGTTTAGAACTGGCTTTCTTGTGTGCGCTCACTAACATCTATCCCCTACCCTACCCTGTTTTATGTCAACTACAATGACTGTGCTTCATTGGGCTGGACTGGTTCCTATTTATACCTTCAAAGATTGCTTTCTTCCTCCATCTACACCCTGTTCTGCCTAGATCATTTGGGTTAGACTTACTGAGTTGCTGAGGAAATAAAATGGGCTAAGCTCTGACTGAAGGGACTGGAGGCTTAGCCAGCTGGCTTGCGCCTGATGAGTAACTGCCCAGGGAGTGAATGAATCATGTTTCCCTCCATCTGGGCTAGTTAAGATCTGGCTGGGGCAACAGGGAGAGAGAAGGAGAAGTGAGTTGTGCCTACAGGGGTTGTGTTGGGCATGGCTAGTGCACAATCTTGATAGAGACTTTCCTCTTCCAGTGAGATATTGGGAGGTGTACTGTCTTCCATTTCCTCACTCGCCCATGAATTCCAGGGTTTCCAGCTCAGGATACTTGTAATCATTGACAGTGTTCTCCAGTTCCTTTCAAATATGCTGCCATTTCCTTTCCCTTACCAAAATGCATGTACAATAATTGCACACAGCAATATTTTCAGCGAGGTTAAAAACCCTGCATTTACTGTACACATAATAAATGCTACACTTTAACTATTTACGTTTGTCAAATTAGTGTTCATCTCCATCTTCTAGATCAGGGGTGGGCAATTAATTTTCCTATGGGACCACATGAGAAACTTTGACAGTTGATAAGGGCCGGACCAATACACTTACAGCTCTGCTCAATATATATCTCTATAAAAACAGTAAATGAAACATTACAATGATACAATGAAAATGTGGAGCACAGAACAACACTATTTAATGAATATTCACAAAAACATTAACATTAACATTACATGAAAAGCAATAAATTCAATTCAATTTAGCAGATCCTTCAAAATAAAAGCAGTGCAGTTGTATTGCTTGCATCTATATTACAACGATATATATTTGCATTGACTTTTAATTTGCCAGTGACCTCATGCGGGCCAGTCAGGGTCATCCATCAGGCTGGATGTGGCCTGTGGGCCGTACAATGCCCAGGTCTGTTCTAGATGCTCTGCAAAAGGGGGAGAAAACCGTTCAGTATTTTTGAATTATGTACTAGGCTTGTGAGAAGCAAACTGAAAATTTCTTCTGTCCAAAAAAGTCCTGATTTTCAGACCTAGTTCACACTTAACAACAAGCTAGGGTATGACTTGAGTATAGGTTATCATTGGATCATGTTTTGTCATTATATGGGAACCCTGCACTATGGTTTAACTGTGGGTTGTTAATCATAAAGAACTCAGAATTCACAGTCCATCAACAAACAATGGGTTCTGTTACCACAGTTTACACCTCAAGAACAAAGCATGAATTTTCTTCATGGGCTGTTTGTGGTTAACAAGCTATTGTTTGTTAGCCCAGCTGGGTTTAGACCACAGAATAACCCACATTTCAACAAAACCTGTGGTTCAATGACAATCTGTACTCAATCCATACTCGGCCATTGAGCATGGGTTATTGTGTTGTCTGAACCCAGTAATTATTTCACGTACATCTAAGATTTATTGTACCAAACACTGTCTGAGGTTTTTGCATTTCAGTCCTTCTTGACCTCACAGATAATTTTCTCCCCTTCTCCCTACACCCATGTACATAGAGGTGCAGAGCCATAAACACAGATCTGCCAATTCAGATTGATATTCCATGTGCCAGAGGGTACCTACAGGGATCTTTTTTTGGCCTTGCTTTGCCATTAAATCAAGAAGAAGCAGAGGGCAACATTCCAAGCACTTGGTGAAGTGATTTCTGGTCCGCACAAACATATATCATAACAAACATATTTGTCTTTAAGGTGGTACAAGACCCTTTGTTGTTTATGCTGCAAAAGACTAAAGCAGATATTTCTCTGGCAACACCTGGATGAACTTTATTACCTAAGGATCCCTTAGATGCTAGAGTATTCCCATTCCTCAGAACATCTTTATTTAGTGGCAAGTAGCATAGCTCAGACAGAGAGGGGATGTTCCACTTCCCAGTAAAAGGCATCAGAGAAAATACTGATGAGGATCCAAGCTGAAAGAGTGTATATGCCTTAATTAGGAGTGGTGCTTCTTCATTCATGTATATTGGTGTTAACCTAGTCCCAGCCTCCCCAGAAATTAGTCTTCACCTGAACCCCACCATTCAGAACAAAATCGAAACTGAGATTTTCACCTGTGGAATGCACTCCCCAGAGAGGTCCGCCTGGCGCCATCCTTATTTGTTTTTTGGTGTCAGGCCAAGACCTTTTTATTTAAACGATATTTTAATTGTTAATTGGTTGTTTTTATTTATTGGTTTTAAATTATGGCTGAGATTCTCCAAATTTTTAATGTTATTCTATTTTATGTTTATTTATTCTCCTTGTAAGCCGCCCCCAGGCTTCTGCGATGAGTGCTGCATAAAAATGTTATAAATAAATAAATATGAGAAGAAGACCATTAGCTCCACCTATTGGATGTGGAAAAGATTGGCAGTCAAGGCCCCTTGCTATGAAAGTTGGAACAATGCCTCTTCCTAACAATCTAATTCAAACTAATATTTTAATAGAGATAGAATGGACTAATAATTCTAATATTGATAGAAGGGTGACTAAGTAACATTAGGGCTAGATGAATCACCAGTTGGAGTTAAGATTGCCGGGAGAAATATCAACAACCTCAGATATGCAGATGATACCACTCTTATGGCAGAAAGTGAAGAGGAACTAAAGAGCCTCTTGATGCGGGTGGAGAAGGAGAACGGAAAAGTTGGCTTGAAACTCAACATTAAGAAAACTAAGATCATGGCATCCGGTCCTCTCACTTCCTGGCAAACAGATGGAGAAGAAATGGAGGTAGTGACAGATTTTATTTTCCTGGGCTCCAAGATCACCGCAGATGGGGACTGCAGCCAAGAAATTAAAGGACGCTTGCTCCTGGGGAGGAAAGCTATGGCAAATCTAGATAGCATAGTAAAAAGCAGAGACATCACCCTGCCAACAAAAGTGCGTATAGTCAAGGCTATGGTTTTCCCAGTTGCAATGTATGGCTGTGAAAGCTGGACCATAAGGAAGGCTGAGCGACAAAGGATTGAGGCCTTTGAATTGTGGTGCTGGAGGAGACTCCTGCGAGTCCCTTGGTCCGCAAGGCGATCAAACCGGTCAGTCCTAGAGGAGATCAACCCTGACTGCTCTTTAGAAGGCCAGATCCTGAAGATGAAACTCAAATACTTTGGCCACCTAATGAGAAGGAAGGACTCCCTGGAGTAGAGTCTAATGCTGGGAAAAATAGATGGCAAAAGAAGAAGGGGGCAGCAGAGAATGAGGTGGCTAGATGGAGTCCCTGAAGCAGTTGGTGTGAGCTTGAGTGGACTCCGGGGGATGGTGGAGGACAGGAAGGCCTGGAGGAATGTTGTCCATGAGGTTGCGATGGGTTGGACACGACTTCGCGACTAACAACAACAACAACAATGGTACAACTATGGATCTTTGTGAATGATGCTCATATACAGAGTTCATAAGTGGGGTACATGTTGGCTTCCAGATGCTGTTGGCTGTGCTGGCTAGGCCTGATGGGAATTGCAGTGCAACAACATCCATGCATTCCCCTGCTCCAGATATAGATGCATTCTTAGATAAACGTGTTGCCCTGATATCCCCAGTCCCAGATTGTTGGCACACTTGTAGCAGCACTGAAATGGCTCCATGTGAAACTGCTCTTTCCAGTGTAATCAGTCTTTGGTGGATGAGCTACTGTTTTAAATCACTCGTCATAATAACATACATGTTCCAGTTGTCTCTGCCTAGCGGGGGTTTTTTCCTCATTCATTTCTCAAACCTTTCCCACTGCAACTTGAAAAAGCATACTATGGAATCAAATAAGAGAAATAGGATCCTTTACTGCTCTAGCAAGAGGTGAACACATTTGCCAGCCAAACTGTTGAAACCATAGGTGTGATGTGACTTCTGGGAAGGCGGCACCAATTACTCTCTGTGAGAAATGTGGGGGAGGTTTTTGAGGGGGAGGGCAGTCTAAGCGCAAGGGAGAATGCAGGTTGCTGTAGCATCTCACACAACGGGTTGCCTTCAGTTCGAATGAAAATAACTGTGAATGAGGTATGGTTGCCATGTGCCTTCGGCAAGGGGCAGCATAGAAATGTTTTAATAAAAAATAAAATAAAAATAAACATGACAAGAGTCTTGGGCATTGAGGGCACAATCCTGTATAGATGTTTTGACAGAAACAGTCCTACCAACTCCCAGGCCGGGGAATGCCAGGAGCTGTAAGCTATTTTTCTGGCTAAATGTGTATAGGGTTGCACACTTAATAGATTTGTTGCAGGGAGAAACTATGACTTTTTCCATTGCAAGGGCATGTTGATAACAGAAGTCTCCGTTCTTGAATGAAAAGGACTGTCAAAGCAACATGTGCCTGCAATTCTAGTACAAGGATGCGTGTAAGCAGGTGCACATGTATGAGTGAGAAGGACACAAATCTGTAAAAGAGAATTGATAGTTGCATGTGTTTGTGTTATACAAACACTGTTGCATTCATGTGAATTCCAAACATTCATAGCTGAATATCACATAGGAAATTTAGTTTTGGAACTGTTTTTACCATCAGGAGAACCTAGGGAATAACAGTTAAAATGAGAATACATAATTTCTGCTATCAGTCCTCATAGGTTTGTGACTCTGATTGCCCAGACTAGGAAAAGATAAAACATGTCATCAACAAAACAGTGGGAGAACAAGAGTTGGTCAATATAAATTGTTTACCACTGAAACATATATTACAACATAAAGTAGTAGTAAAGGAGTTTTAGCTTGTTTCTCACTCCAGTCCTGCAGACCAGATATTAGGAAAGAAACTATTGTGGATATTGTTGGATTGAGACTGAGATGTATTAAGAAATTTTGGATTTAATGAAAAAGCTTGACGCAATCTGAATGCGATGTACTTCTGTTGTCATTTAATGTGTTGGAACTCTGTGGTTATGCAAAGTTCCCACATTCGGTCCAGGAAGGCTTACAAAACTGATATCCGGAACCAGTGCCAGTCAGTGTAGACCAGTCTTCCCAAAACTCTCACTTCCCAGGCATGTTGGAATACAGCCCCCATCATCCCCAGCCTGGCCAGGATTATAGTTAGAATTGGTTAATGTAAATGAGTCTGCTCTAAGTACATATGAGTCTAGATCTAACCCCTGCTTTATAGTACACCCAAGATAGGATAGCTATCTTGGGTGTACTATAAATAAACGAAGTGAGATGAAGAATGAATTGTGCTTCCATTTCTTGCCTGATCGTAATGTACTTCAACATCTTTTACAAGCTGAGTTTGTGCCTGTGTCAGTTCTATATGGACTAGCCTAAAGGGAATACTAAGAAGTAGCTTAAGGGAAGGATGACCTCTCCTCAGCCAAGATCATCTTCCTTTTGATTACTTGTTCATTTCACATAGGAATAATTCTCACACAGAAAGTCTTGAGAAGTTAGCAATAAGCACTGCTTTATAATACACAAAACTGATGAACATTCTTCCCCAACTTGGTTTTCTTTGGAAGTTTTAGACTGCAAAACTGACCATACTGGCTGGGGATGATGGGAGTTGTAAGATATCTGGAAGGTAGAAATCAAAATTGTGAAATATTTTGCATATCTTGGCTTAATTGTCAATTCAAAGGGAAGCTGTAACCAAGAAATTCGAAGAAGACTGGGATTTGGAAGGGCAGTGATGAAGGAACTAGAAAAGATAAACAAATGAAAAGATGTTTCACTGGAGACCAAGGCCAAGATCATTGTATTCCTGATCACTTTGCATGAGTGTGAAAGCTGAACAGTGGCAAAAGCTGGCAGGAAGAAAATTGGTGTATTTAAAACACGGTGCTGTATTGTGAATACCCTAGACTGACAAAAGATGAACAAGTAGATCCTAGATCAAATCAAGCCAGAACTTTTCCTAGAAATAAAAAGGACTAAACTGTGATACTTCAGACACATCATGAGAAGCAAAACTCACTAGAGAAGATAGTCATGCTAAGGGAAGTCAAGTAAAAGATAGATTGACTCCATCAAGGAAGCCGCAGTTGAATTTGGAACTGCTAAGAAGGGATGCCATGGTTAAGGTATTTTGGAGGGCTTTCGTTCTTGGGTTACTGTAAGTCAGAGACGACTTGACAGCACTTAACAACAACAACCAGATTGGGGAAGGTTGCCCTATATCAAGGGGATGCTCTTTATCTTCACAACAGTTTCAGGTTCAGAACATGCAAGATGAAGTGCTGAACTAACTGCTGTTTTTCCTGATGTGCAAAAGATTTGCAAGGGCTAGAAATGGAAACATTCATACTCTAGAAATAGATGTTCAGCTTCCAGATGGGGGATGCAGAAATCATCTCTAACTCTAGAAAGACACAAGCATTTTTTGCTAAGTCTGGCATTTTATGTATATAAAACAGTATTCTACATCATGTTTGGAGGTTTTACGGCTCCCACAGAGCTTCGTATCATTAGAGTCAAGCAGAATTGTATCAGCAGAGGCATCTGGATTTCCAATTAGAGAGCTTTTTCTTAAAGCCATCCCAGTTTGTGTTTTGATTTGCTTTTTTTAGGATGAAATCCTTTCTTTCGGGTTCTTAAAATACAGTCTATTTCCTGGCCTAATCTGGCATAGTGATATGGCATGAAGGAATTGCACTGGCTTTTAATTACTGCTTAGCTCAGACTTCTCCAATCTGGTGACCTTCACATCTTTTGGACTGCAACTCCTATCAGCCCCAGCCAGCATGGCAAATGATCAGACATGCTTGGATTTGTAATCCAAAACAATTGGCGGGCACGAGGTTGCAGGGAGAATACCTTAAGTCATGAAATGAAGCAGTGGCATTAGCAATACTAGAGTCTCAGGATATTTGCTGACTCTGCCTTTACAAAGAGGGAATACTAAGGCTGGCTCCTTAAGAATTCCATTTTTCAGTGTTAGTAGACACTAAACAGATTGTACACAAAGCACATGCTGCATAAGAAACATCATGGAGTTCAGGGCCTGTGGCAAGAGTAGGAACAGGCCCCTGTGGAACGCCAACACACCTTCAGAGGCCCACTGAATTTCTTCCGCCCTTTCACTGACCCAGACCGTGATGGTGGGTGAGAAGCAGGAGCAGGAGCTGCCGTGAGTGGCTTGCGCACACGCACTGCCTGTCAAGCAAGCAGGTGGTAGCAGTGATAAGAAGAGGAGGAGAAGGAGCTGGTGCCAAGGGTGGTGAGAAAGTAAATTACGGAAGGGGCCTCACTAAGGGCGTTTGGCCCAAGGGCCTTCAAAACTTGGAGCTGGCCCTACTGAAGATGGTAGCTGCTAACCCAGGCATTTAATTTACACAGGGTTGGAGAACTTGTTGCTCTCCAGATGTTTTGCCCTACAACTCTTCTCTTCCCTCACCATGGGCTATGCTGGCTGACTGCAGGCCAAAACAGCTGGGGACTGCATGGCCCAACCCTGATCTACGATGTGGATTTGCTCCATGCTGACGTACTCCTGGCCTGTGTCCATTGCTAGAATTCATTCTGTTTTGGATTTAGGGCCTTGCCTTCCTGTGAAAATGCTCTTTTTGTGATATATTCCTGCCACCTGGGGACTAAACAAGGGCTCTGAAATCTAAAGTATGGCTGAGACAGATGATGGGCCAACAGGAAAGGAAAAATATTACAAGGATGGAAATATGTGTACACAGCTGACCCTTCCATGGGACAGACTGAGAGAACCAGCACAAGACCACTGTTTTAGGCTGTCATGGAAGGGAGGGAAACAATAGATGTTTCATCTGTTATTGTTGTATTTTTCTGCCAGGGAGTGGGAGAGATGCTTTCAAACAGGGGCCTGTTAAATTCACTACTTGCTCTCTCAAGAAGTAGGCTACACTAGTCACTTTTTTAAAGTATGGCAAAAACAATGGTACTGAGCTGCATGAGATCCCACCTGCACCACCAAGGTGGCAGACTTGCCCATAATTTAATGGAAGAAAGAGGACGGTCTGGGTTCCATATGCATATTAGCTTAGAGGACTGAATGTGTATATACTGTATCAATATTAGATATTTTTAAAAATAAGAATTGGTTCTTTAGATTGCTTCTGTTCCATTGTGATTCATTTGTGGTTTCAAGACCCAATGAAAGATTATTTCCAGTAGGGCAAGAATATGTGTGCCCTACATCCTATTAAAATTCATAACAATGTTGGGAGTGAAGGCAGAAACAAGGCATTCAGACTTGGTTATTTGAGATGGGCTTGCCTTTGGGGTGATATTTCCCTCACTGTGATAAGCGGAAGGAGGAACTATATCAAGGCTTGCTGGAGAAGAGCCAAATCGTTCTTGTTGGGTCTCAAAAGCTGTCCGGCTGATTGGTGCCTTCTTCAGACTATCCCTTTTCTCCTGCAAGCAAGCATTAATGCTGTACAGACATTTCAGTGTCAAACTGGTTTCACAGCACTTTTGAAACTTTCAGTAGTTCACATAAATGTACACCATGACTTCTTCCCTTTGAATGGTCATGTGGAAGTACAAAAATTTAACTTGCCCCTAAGTCCGTTAGCATGCTTGGATTAGATCACCTGTCCAGTTCAGCACATTAAGAAATGTGGGTTCAACAGAGCCGTGTAAAGTTCAGCATGCAGTCAAGCAGTTCTGTGATTGCTTTGCCATGTGCCTAACTTGGAGCTGTTCCCACACTTCACACATAGTTGCTGCGCAAACCAGCTGTTGGCAGCTGGCTTGAAAGTGGTGCAGTAAACATAGGTTGGGAGCCAGACACACGGTGAAGCGATTGCATGAGCCAAATGCCAAGCAGATCTCAACCCGTGTTCCTGACTTGCCAGTTTTGTCCTGTAGCCCGATCATTAGAAGTGAGGAAGGAATGATCTCCGATGGTCATGCTGTGGACAGGAAACTGTACCGTACACAGCCTGCAAATGTTGAATTTGCTCACAACTTGTCCCCCTCACTCATCAAATGTAGCCCTCCATGTGCCTTTGAAGTCCTTCATGGAACAATTAACATAGCTTCTCAGGAACCACTGTCCTGCAGTCCAGAATGAGACCTTTTAAGAATGTTGACAGGGTAGAACAAAAAACCCATGCAGGGAAACAAACAAAAAGCCTAAAAAGAACAAGTAATACCAATCTGATCTTGTTGTTATATGCCAACCCTCTCCAACTTGTGGCAACCCGATGAATGAAAGCCCTCCAAAATGACCTAGCCATGATAGTCCTGCTCAGCTCTTGCAAACTCAAGGCTGGGGCTTCCTTTATGGAGTCAAATCCATCTGATATTTGGTCTTCCTTTTCTTCTTCTGCCTTTGACTTTCCCTAGCATGATTCTCTTCTCTATTGCCAATCTGGTCTAGACAGTTCTAAAAGCTACAACACAATTGCAGGTCTAAACCTGAATAGTCCAATAAAACATAATCAGGGAAAGGGGAGAGAAAACTACTTTTCAGGGCCTTTCTGAAAGTTTGCACTGATGGGGTACTATGGACCTGTTGGGAACCCATTCCAGAGATGTAGGGGTCACTGCAGAAAAGGCTGTCTGTTATGCCACCAACTCTTAAAATGATCAGTCAGCTTAGATACTTAAGATACAATTTGGCCAAACTGAATTGCTTTGGCTTGTTATTCAGATTGGTCATAATTGAAGTCTGATTGCATTACTTTCAATAGAGGTGTTCACTAAATTTCTAGATTGTGCTCTCAGTCTCCTGAGGACCAAGAGTGTGTGTGCACACAAGGCGATATTTCCGAGTACTATAAACCTCCCTATTCCGGCAGCCACTACCACTACGTTCCAAAGCAATGTAGTCCAAGAATGACATCAGAAGGGAAGCAAAGGGAATAAGTTGCTAAAGCAACCAGAATGCCTTAGGCTCGAAACGGGGAAAAGACATCTGATTCCAATTATCTCGTAGCAGTTCTGAATATCTGTTTTTTGGTCCAGACTGGTGATGTGTCAGCAACGTCACCTGATTTTTGCTGATGGGTTTTTCAATTAACCCTCACACAGTCGACCAACAGGCATCTGGAAATATGTAAAAGAAATAAGACCAGCCAGGCAGCCAAAAAGAACAATTAAACAAGCAGAGAGGTGACTTTGATGACTCAATTCCATTTTTTCTTAAAGTTGTGTTGTGATGCAGAACACTGTTTCCAGAAATACATTCGTCCCAGATCAATCCCAAAATGTCCCACTACTCCTCTGGTACCCTGCATTTATGGGGAGGGGGATATGCAGACATTTCCTTAACTTGCTTAGTAGTAATCTTTTAGTCTGATTAGTCCATATAGCACATATGCAGAATGCCCTGTTTTATATTCCTACCCAAAAAAAGAGAGGCTACAACAGATTTTTGAAATCTAAATTATAATTTGTCCATGAAAATTTGGAAGACCAAAAGCACAAAAGTTTCATTTTTCAATCTACGCTTTCATTTAAGTGCAAATTCCCTCATTTGGGAACCTCTGAGAACCTTTAACTTTATTACTATGGAACTTTACAGTGCACTCCTACACTCTACTCAAAAGTAAACCCTATTGAGTTCCTTAGAGTTTACTCCCAGGAAACTGGATCAAAGATTACAGTCTGGCCTGTGTGCTCTTTGTAGTTAAGTTGTCAAGTGGTATTTCTAGTCCATTCTCTTTATTCTCTAAACTATACTAGCTAGCATACACACAAAAGCATTGGCTCGGGCTACAGACAGTATCGTCTTGCAGCCAGAAGAGACAAAAGTTCCAGACAGGCTTTGCATAGCACTGTATCATCTAAGCTTCCCAGGGTTACAGCTAGTTGTCATGAACTGACACTGTCTGCTGAGGCCCACCCTTCTCAAGCTCAGCTGGTTAACAAATCCCTCCCTCAGAGTGGTCACCTGCCTCCCTTCAAGTCCCTTTGGGGGGGCCTCATGACCCTGCCTTGCCCCTGTCTGCTGATGCCTAACTCTTGGGTTTCATATTCCTATCACTTCTTTCTCTCTATTGGAATTCTGTGTTCCAAAAGGCTCCAGGGATCCTACTTGGCTGGTCTCCAAAAGGTTAGACAACAGCTCGGTTTTCTTGGTTGTAAACTTCTAGGGAGCCTTGGCAGAATAGAAAATCATCATCATCATCATCTCACCAGTCTCCTGCTCCTACATGACTGAACCGCACTTTCTACCTCTGCCTCCCTCTCTGACTCAGAATCATTTCCTGTGATTTTCTGGGCAAAGGTGAAGGACCCCATCTGTCAATTACAGACAACTATAACAAGCTTACAAAGTAGCGCCATAAGAAAGCATGTCCACACTATCAGTCCTCTGGGCTGCATACAATGTAGTCTCCTGTATGACCCAGTCATTTCAATGGCTCTACTCTAAGTAGGACTAAGGTTGCATTGAATACTACCTCCTTTGCCTACAGGTAAGACCATGATGCTGTCATGATGGCTGTGCTTCTCAGTAGCATCCCACAATGCTCCAGAGTAACTTTGCTTTGCTCCCAGCCACCTGGTGTTGCTTAAAATGCTACTGCAGTCTACCTTAAACATCACTGTCAGGTAAGTGTACTGGGCTCATCAGCAAAAGAGGAGGTGTACCAGAAGGCATATGGCACCAGACCCAACAAGACTTGGAGCTGGTTTTGGCAGTGCATCTGTCTGGCCATCTAAGTATGAGTGGAACCTCAAGGCGTGTCTGAAACTCCAATTTCCAGGGTTCCCAGCTGGTCTCACTCTCTTCCCTTTCCTCCCCTTCCCTGGCTTTTGTGCCATTGTTTTCCCCATTGCAAAGGCTGCAATGACTCTTTTGGCCCTGCACTTTTCCCTTGGACTCACTCCTTTTTATGTATGGACCTGCTCACCACTGGAAAGTGGCCCCCAAGGGCCATTGAAATTGAATTCAGCGCTAGGGCTGAAAGCAGATTCATACCCATAGAGAAGGAAGTTTGCTGCCTGGAAGGAATGTGCGTGGTGTTTGCTTCTGCCAGTGCTCTGCTTTGAGATTTGTAAATAAACCAAATATTACCTTAAGTCTCCAGTGTGTGCACTCTCTCTCGTCTCCAAAAGGAACCAAGTCCAAGGAGTACTGACTCCTGGAACTTGTTCAACCCATCCCAGGGAAGTAGGGAGCATATAACACACTACGCAGACTAGATATCCTAAAAAAACAACAACAAAAAACCTATGGCATCATAATTGAAACTGAAAAATACTTGCTTTGAAGGAAATGGAAGAGGTGCAGGCTGCAGGCTGCAAGAGAGACACTGGTATAGTTGAAACTTCTGGGATTATATACACTTCAGCCTTGGCACAATTTAAGAGAGAGCGAGATTGAAGGCAAAGAGAGTTTGTGTTTTGACTCCTGCATTGCACTTAGATGACTCCACCATGGTATTTCAAAATGAACAGTACTGCACCCAAAACAACAAAATCCTTAAAAGGGAATCCTGTGGTTTTTGAGCTATGATTAATAGCTGTCTTCCAAGCACTTGCCAGCACCACTGTTCGACAATACATTTTCAGATTCAAAGTGTTGTTTACAACTCCACCATCAAACCAAAAACAGCCTTTCATGGGAATCAAAGTCTAGTTTTAAAAAATCCATAGTTTTGCTGTAATAAACAAACTGATAAAGGAATTCAAAGAGATGCTTTAGTCATGCCCAAAGTCTCAGGAATGCTTGGGGGAATTTGTAGTTTTCTGGGTGGAATGGAGATCTCCATAGACCGTGGGTCCTCAAACAATGGCCCGCAGGCCAGATTCAGCTGCCATGCCCATTTATCTGGCCTACCTCGGAGGTTTCGGACTCACTATGCGCACACGCGTGTGCGCAGCTGCGGGCATGCTGTGAGGCGGCAGCTTGCTCACAGGGAGATAGTTTTGGACTCGCTCGGAGAAAATGATGTCCGTGCAAGCAAGCCGTTGCCTCACCCCACGCCCCTGCCTCGCTGCACACCCCACCCCCTCACCGGCCCACACACCCTGCTGGCACCTCCTTGGCAGCCTGCACCCACCACGAGCACCTTTCAACTGGCCCCTTGTTGAAAAAGTTTGAGGACCCCTGCCATAGACAGAAGTCCTCCTTCACCAACTCCCCCTCCATAGTGTGAGAGTGGTGGTTAGAGCTGCACACTTCAAGAAGGCCTGAGGAGCGCACAGGCGCATGTCTTCTGTACCATTATCTACCTGACAGACCTCAAGCGCTGTAGTGAAACGGTCTGCCACCCATTCTTTGTAGAGCTGCAAAAGGGCAACCAAACGCGGTGCTCCAGCAGCTCTCCTACATCTAAATATTTGGGGCTTTTTGGTAAGATGGGGGGGACGTGAAAGATGTTTATGGAAACATGCATGGTGGCGTACAGGGGATGGTGGGTCAGTCCAGCCATCTGGAGTTCCCCACATGGTTCTCCCCAAATGGCGATTTGTTTCCTCACTTTTGTAAGGTTCCCCCACCCCCTGCATTCCAAAACGGTGAAAATCTCTTGAAAGGCTTAGTCATTGGCAGTAAGAGCTTCAAGCTAAATTATGCTGATTTTTTTGTAAGTTTGACCCCACCTGTTTTGCATTTGACCCTGCCCCAAATTGGAAGGAGGGCCCTGAGAACTTCTCTAAAAGTCATTTTGTCTAGTGGACTGAAAAAGGTTCTACAGTTCTGTCCAGACTGGGAGAAATCCCACTCTCATAACACTAGAAGCTGAGGATTCCCAGGAAGCTAGAGATTCAGTACGGTGTACAGGAAGTACTTGTGCATGCAGTGCAGAGTTAAACTATGGAGTGCACTGCCGATGTAAGCACAACACAGAGAACTTTAAAAGGGAATTAGACAAATTCCTGGGAGGTAAGGCTATCAATGGCTGCTAGTCATAGTGGCTATTCAGCACCTCCAGTCAGGGAGGCAGCATGTCTCTCAGCGCTGGCCGCTGGGAAAGAGGAGCGGAAGGGTGCTTTTGCCTCATATCCTCCTGATTAAAGAAATGCAGATATGCCTTGCAAGAACCAACTGCTGTGCTTTGCCTCCCTCTGCTGACGTGAACATAATTGCTCACAGACCAGGGAATTTTAGTCACGGGTGTGTAAATAACTTGTGGAAATATTGCAAGCTTTTGTAAGTTTATCACATACTGCCCTTCATCACACAGCAGGTTTTTTCTCATCCTAAAGGCTGTGATCTTCTATACTTCACCATGGCATATTTGAATTAAAGCAAGAAAGACAACATAGGAAAACTTTAGAAATGGAGTATCTCCCCTTGCTCTAGCTTCTAATCGGTCGACCACCAAAATAGATATGATGATACAGTAAGTTTTCTTTTCTTTGCAATCTGTGGAAGTTTGTAAGAAACACAGGATGCATCAGCAAACTCAGAAACATCTGGAAATGAATGAATCGTGGTGCAGAATCGAAATACGCATAATGTGGATTTCTAGACTGACTGCCAAGCATCACTGTTCTGAACTCAAAATAGATTTTTGCCATTTCTATCTCTACCCTGGAATGCCTTGCCGGACTACTCCAAATGTCCACCTTGTTGAGTATTCTGCCTCCAACTCCAGCCAGGCAGATATCACTGGCAAACACAGGAATGGGGCAGGATGAAAACCGATTTATTTTCTCATCTGTGTTCACGATTAATAGATATACTGCCTCTGAGCATGGAGGTTTTGTCTTTAGCAATTGTGAGTGGCAGGTTTTGCTAGATCGTGAGGGTGCGTAATCAAGTTATAAAATCAGTTCAGTCCATTGTTTTATTTAGGTCTGTTTATTTCCTCTTCCGCTTCCAAGCATTTTTCTAGGAGACTGGCAAACATTAAAAATGTAAATGTAGCAGCTGTTAAGTTCAGCAATACAATAACACACACACACACACACACACACACACACACTGTAGGACACATGGACATGCCTCGATCATGCCTCTTGCCTTGTCTTCTTAGACATGTTGGTGACAGTGTCACCTCCACTTGCTCACACCTTTAAAGCAGAGATGGACAGAATAAGGCCTTCCAGATGTGTTGCCCCACAGTTCTTGTCATCCTTTAACTGGCTATGGTGCTAGGGCTGATGGGAGTTGTGGTCCTCCAGATGTTTTGGCCTACCATCTCACCCTGCTTTAAGCTACAGTAGCAGGTGCTGTTGAATGAAATAGGGGGAACGGCCCACTGGACTGGGCTGACTGCCTTGAGCAAATGTGTTTTGCTGTGAGCTTGGTAAAACAGAAAGGGCAGTGTATTTATTTACTTATAAAGTGTCTAGATTGCCCCTCATCCACAGTCCATTCTGTGTACAGACATAAACAAAACTGCAAATACAATGTTATGAAAACAAAGCAATTGATCACCAGTGCAATAAAAATTGAGAGGGAACAAACAGTAACACTATACAACCAGCGGACACACTACAGTCAATTTAAATACCTTGAAAATTAAAACAGTCTTGCCCTGACACTGAAAAATCTGATACCTACAACACCTGTCAGTGACTAATTCATTCAGCCTGCAGCAATCACCCTCTTGAGTCTGGGTCTAAGCTGCAAACCTCATGGCCCCTACATCTGGCACGAACATTTTCAGCACATATGTTGTCTTTTTTTATACTGGATGAGTTCTGGAGAAGTTGAAAATGTGCATGCTCTTTGTATTACTTTACAAATATTTTTATTATTTTCTTTAAAGAAATAGAATACAGGAAAGCAAAAAAAAATGTAAAAGAGAAATGCTAAGGAATCTTAACACAAATATAACATATAAATTCATAACTTAGCAACCCCCCCCCCATTCTAGCTTTCTGTCAATCCGTACTTTGGTGAAGCTTGCCAAAAGCTAATTATAGTTCTCTTAAACCAATATAAATTCCAATCACTTGAAGTCAATTATAAATCATCAACAATATTTTAATGAGCTTCATTTCATTCTGTATTAATTAAACTGCCTATAGTAAAATTTCCATTTATCATTGAATTCTTCAATCATTCTTCTGTTTACATAACTAGTTAAATTTGTCATCACTGCATGCTCACCCAACTTATTTTTCCAATCTTCAGTTGTTGGACATGCTGCTGTTTTCCATTTAGCAGCGATCGTAATTCTTGCTGCAGTTGTCATATATTTAAACAACTCTGACATATTCTTTTTAAAAAGTATCTCGCATAATATTCAAAAGCATATTCTTAGCACCCACAGGCAAATTAATTTTAATGGGTTTTTTCCTACTTGTGATAAAATTAAAAGATTTTGGAAGCTGATACAACTCTCCACAATACTTTTGATGGTCCAAACTAGATACTGCCTAACTAGATTTCAGGGTGATGTTGGAAAAATGCCACCACCATGCATCCTGGGATGATTTTCCTATCCCAGATTCACATATTGTTTAACCTACTTGTAAGTTCACCTCTAACCTAGTCCTTCTAGAACAGTGTGACCTGCAGGGTACCAAACAATGCTCGCAAATTTCAGCCACCTGCTTTTTATGGTTTTCTTTCTACAAGCCATTCCTTTTAGAAACATCCCTGGGCATAAAATGTCCCAGAATGTGTACAATGATAGGCATTTTGTGCCTTATTTGAGGACAGATTTAACTACAGCTCTTGTTGGTCTGTTTTGATTGCCAGGAAAAGGAACAAACCCCTCCCTAAAAACATGAACGCTTATTGAGGAAAAGCATCAGTATGCTGATTTGAAGTTTATAGGCTGAAATAGTTTGTTGAATGGGAGTTAATTAGCCAGAGTGCTGTTATGTTGATTGTTCCTTGAGGCAGGAAAGATTAAGTCCTAAATAAACTGTACTAGCTGAAACTTGAAATCCATTCTTATGCTGCTTTTAACTCTTAGTGGAAACATTGACAGTAGCCTTTGATGGAGAGATTATGCCTTGCCAAAGGCAGCTTTGTGTTTGGGGTTCAAAAATTCCCCAGAGACAGTGAGCACCAAGTTTATTTCAAAATGTGAGTTAAACATGAAGAGGAAATGTATCCTGCTTTACTAATGCTTCTCTTTTGGTTCCTTACTCCCAAACTGTGGCTGGTCAGAATTAGCATAAACAGAACGATTCTCACGGTCCAGCATGGCAAGCTATGGCTCCAGATGGCACTCTAGAGAGGTTGCACAGTTTCCCCAGTTTCTCATGTAAATATAAAACAAAGTAATAACACCAAAGGGTACTGTTTTTACTTCCCTGATTATTATGTAGCCTTCAGTCCCATTCCATCCCATTATTCTATGAGATTTGGTGTGCTCTATTTTCCCCCCAACAGGATAGGGGACATAAAAGTTGAACTAGGGATTCCTCTGCCCTTCACCATGCCTTTTTTCCAGCCTCAGAAAACAGTATAACCCATAGCTAATGGTATAACCCCTAATTCCCCAACTGGATACCTTCCAAATGTCTTGGGCTACTCTTCCCATCCATCATGTCCATTTGCTGGGCATGATGGGAGGTGTAGTCTTAACACATCTGGAGAAAGTTGGGGAAGCCTGGTACAACCTTTCTCTAAAACCTTTCTTGTATTGATGCCACCCAGGAAGGCCTTGGCAGTTATAGGTGGCCTATAAATACATACATTAAACAAACAAACAAACACAAACAAAATTAAACTCACTTAAGATGCAAAAAGGTCACGATGTTTTGTGGAACCTCAGACTAACCAATTTATTCTGGCAGACTCTGTCCATTTCATCAGATGCATCCCAAACCCAAAGGTCTTCCCATCCCTGCAACTTCTGCTCATCCATTGTATACTTTCTTCCCCCAGAAGGAGACGAATCATTCATACATTCAGTACGACCCTCCATAGAGAGCACTCTTATTGTATATCTGCTTGCCCTGCTCCTCTACTTGACAAAGCCTGTCCTTGCCCCATAAAATGCCTGAACTGGGACTTTGACTTAAATGAGCCTTTGGCCTTCCTTCTTTCCCCAGGGACAGCTTCAACTTCTGTCAACATGTTTCGTTGTTCTTCAAATCGTTTGCAAGT